CTCCCTCAGACCCCCTGAGGGTCCCCCTCATGTCCCTGGAGGCTCCCCAGCCCCTCAGAGGGTCTCCCCCCCATCTCGGGGTCTCCACACCCCCTCTGTGGGTCTCTGCATCCCCCCAGGGGCTCCCCAAACCCCCCAGCTTTGGCAGCCCCTTGGGCCTCACCATTTGCTTTCCCCTCCCCACGTCCCTTTCAGGGAGCATCCTTTTATCATATATTTTTTTAATTTAAATTTGTTTCTCTGTTTTTTCATCATTTTATCCACGTGTCCCTCATCTCAGCCTCTCACCCCAAATCAGCAGATACAGCCCATAGGGGAAGGAAAAGGAGGGGGCAAAACCCACCCAGTTCCCCTTCTTCTTCTCCTCCAAGGTCCAGGGAATATGGTGCTTCTGAGTTTCCAAATTAAAAATAAGAACAACAACAAAAAAAACCACACAACAACTCAAACTGGGGATTTTTTTCATGCTTTCCCAAAACACTGTCATGGAGGGTAACAGAGAGGAGAGAAATGCCCTGAATGGGTGGAACCGTAATTAGCAAACCCAAATAATGCCTCCAAGAGAGGTGGAGAGCGGGGAAGGACCAGGGATGGGATGGGATAGGATGGGATGGGATGGGATGGAATAGGATGGGATGGCATGGATGAGCTTCCCAAGAGGTCTCCACTGAGGTGTGGGTATCCATCTGCAACCGCCCTTGACATCTCATGGCTTGGGATGAGCTTCCAAGAGGTCTTCACCAAGGTGTGAGCATCCATCTGTAACTGTACTAGGAGTCTCATGGCTTGAGATGAGCTTCCAAGAGGTCTCCACCAAGGTGTGGGCATTCATCTGCAGCTGCCCTAGGTGCAGTGGAGGGGCATTAAGACCTTGGGGAAGGTCCTGCCCAAGGCGACGGTGTTGGGGCAGAGGTGCTACCACCCCACTGGTGACCTCTCAGGCCTGGCCATGTCCCCTACCCATGTCCCCACAGCGTTTTAGCACCACCACCAGCTAGCTGGCCTGGGTTCCCCCCATCGCCCAACATTTCCCCATCTTGGAAGGTCCCCAGATCCATTAATTATCCATGACTCAACCGAGAACCGGAGCCAGCAGTTCGAAAACTCCCCTTTTATCTGATTTTCAGATGTTGACACCTAGCAGTTGCCGCTCAACCCTGGCGTCACCCCAAAATGGGACACCAGGAGAGCCTGGAACATCTCAGAGCTTCCCTGATGTCCCTTAAGCCATCGGTGTCCATCCCCGATGCTGACAAGTTCCCCCTCGTTGGGTTTATTTTCATCAGTGCTTTCGCTTCCTCCCGCAGCACTGGGGCTTTCTGCTGCTGGGATTTTTTTTTTTTTTTTTCTGTGATTATGAAACCGGTGGTTTTAAACCTCTGCACCATTTTAGGTGATTCCTGACTTCTGCGGGGCGGGGGGGGGGGGAGGTGTCCAACCCCAAATCTGCGGTGGGAGGACACGGTGTGGCTCACCCCTGAGCTTGGGGAGTCCATCAAGGGATGGTGAACATCTCCTGGGACTGTCCTTGTTGAGACTGGCTGAGATAAGCAACGCTCCGGGTTTTTTTTCCGACCCTACGTTGGGTGGATTTAATCTTGGGTGTGGGAAAGGGGCCCCTTTCCTGGGGAGGTGGTTGGTATGCAGGGATTAAAAAAAATAAAATAATAATAATAAAACCATGCCCGTCTCCATCCTGGGTTGCAAAATGGAGGAAATAAGCGCTCGCCTTCCGAAAAAATATGGTTCCAAGGCTGGTTTTGCCCCCGGGATAGATGCGACCGCGATTAAAAGGAGGGGAAGGCAGGAGCGGAGGTAAATCACCACCATAAATCACCGCTGCGGGGGTTTTGGCAAAGCCGTGGGGCTGCTACACTTGCGGACTCCCCCTGGAACGGCGGCTCCTTCCCATTTCGGCATCACCATGAAGCCGAATCCATCCAGCACAGCACCGGTGCTTTGTAAAACCCCTTGGGTTGGCTCGGTGGAGAAAGGGAGATGGTTCTGGAGGGTGACCTGGGATGTCACGTGTGGGAAAACACAGTCACCGAGGGGCAACGTGGATCTCCTGTCCAGCTTTTTTGGTGTCCCCCAAAGCCTTTGTCCCCATCTTTGGGACACCGGGAAGGAATTACTTTGGGAAATGCCTCTCCAAAATTCCTCCATCCCACCCGCCTGCTTGGTTCCTTCACAAGAAATCCCTCATTTTCCTTAAAACCATGGTGAAAGTATCCACTGCCTGCCCCGGAGGGGGTTTCCCCGTGACTGGTGACCACGCCGAGCATCGGTGATGCCATCATTCCCGGTGCTGCTTGGGCCGCGTGGTGAAAATTCTCATTCCTGGCTTCTTGGGGTTAGCGAACCCGTAAAGTAGGGGTTTTGCCCCAGATTTGTGGCGATCAGGAGGACTGGGTGCTGAGGTCCTCACGGATGCTGGCGTGAAGCTGGCGGAGGTTTTGGGGTGTTGGGGGGGGTAAAAAAAAAAATGAGGGTGCATGAATTTCCTTTCTCCTTGCGAATGGGAGGGCCGTTTGGTTCTAATTAGCTAATGAGTTAATTAGGATTAATTAGTTAATGTTTGCAAAGCACTTAGGAGATGAAAAGTGCCAGCGTGGGGCGGCAAGCGATGGGCTCCGGTGACACAGCGAGGGATGCTCCCGGTGCTCTGGCCTTGGCGAAAAGCCGTGCCGGGATGGAGGCACGGTGGCGTGCCGAGAGCCAAGCGGGCACGTCCCGGCGTGCCCATCCCGCCGGCAGCACCGCTTCATCTGGCGGTGGTGGCGGCGGCGGAGGGGAAAATTCCAGCACCACGGCTCAGGGGCCTCCCTTCCCGCCGGCATCCCGCCGGCACACGCGGCACACGTGGGAAGGAGTTGGGTTTTCCCTGCCCGGCGGGTGCCTCGCCGCGCTTTGCCGGATTGACCAGACCCTCACTCCATCCTGGCATCCTCCGGCACGCCAGAGCCCCCCCAAAAAAACAGGAATCAAGATACGGCGGAAACCCCCCTATCTCACACCGGGGTTACCGGGAGGTAACAAAGCCAATTTACTAATTAACTGGGATTAATTTCCCTGTTTGCCCAAACACACCCACCCCGTGGTTTCTCTTCATTGCCTACGGAGCCGCCGGCACGAGCGGCGGCAATCCCGGCTGGCCGCCACGTGGTCCAGCGGCACGATGCTCTCCATCGCCCAAATTTCCCGGCTATTTCGGCCACGCGCTTGGTGCTACAAATTAAATAATAACCCATTAACGAGCCGGGATGGGGATCCCCGAGCCCTGAATCTGGATTTGGGGTGAAAAAAAGGGTGTTGGTTGGGTTTTTTTGGTTTTTTGTGTTTTTTTTTTTTTCTCCGGCAGAGCTGGCGCCGCTCTTTGATGGTTTAATTTCAGCCGTTCCCTTCGTCCCCGGTGGGTCCCGGAGGGGAGACAAGACCTGAATTCCTAATGCAGAAAAACAAGAAGGAAAAAAAAAAAAAAACCCTAAAAAAAAAATACGCCAAACCTCCATGGGTTCGTTATTATTATTTTTTTGGCTTTTTCCAAGCTTTTCAGGCCTCTGTCGGGAAGAGGAACCAAGCGGGCGGTTGTTCCCCAAAAGAAAGGAAAGGGAT